GTAGGGCAGGTTGCTCCAAGCCCCTGTGTCCAACCTGGCCTTGAACACTGCCAGGGATGGGGCAGCCACAGCTTCTCTGGGCACCCTGTGCCAGCGCCTCAGCACCCTCACAGGGGAGAGCTTCTGCCTCATCTCCAGCCTGAACTTCCCCTGTTCCAGTTTGAACCCATCACCCCTTGTCCTAATGGCTGCTGTGCAGCGGCAGTTTAGGCTCAGGGGGTTTGGTTATGGAGCTCTTGTGATCTGTGTCACTTCAGCAACCAGTGGTGACAGTGTCCGGAGTTACAAAGGATGTAGTGCTGGCAGATGCCTTCAGCTTCAGTGGTGTGCAAACAGGAGGAGGGTTGTGAGCCCTGGTGGTGTTATTCTGCAGCTCTCAGCATGGCTGTGCGGGTGGATTGCAGCATCCTGAGCCCGGGAATGGGCCGGGAAGCCCTGGCTTTCCCATGATGCCCTTGTTTTGCAGGAAGCTGCAGCGCCAGGGGGCCATGGGGTCCCCTCTGGGGGGGCTGGGAGAAGGGGGAGCACCTTGTGCAGTGTTCGCAGAACACACTGCTGCCTGCGTGCTGTCTGCAATAGCGCGATTGAGGAGGAGTTGTCAAAAACGAAACTTAAGGGGAAAAAAAGCTGGTGAAACAGCTCCTGAAGTGTCCATCGGGAATGCCAAGAGCAGTGAATGTGGGTCGCCTTCCTGTGCGCTCTTGGCAGGAAGCTTAAGCAGCAAAACATGGGAAAGCCCTGCTGGTCTGCACGGGGCTGTCCGTCCGGCTCACTCCGTTCCCTGCTGAGATGCCCTGGAACAGGCTGGGTGTTTGTCCAAACAGCCAAACCGGCGTTTCAGCGCTGCTCCCCCAGCTCGGCCGCATGGCCCTGGGCACTTCCCTCCCCACTGGAGCAGGGGAGTGAGCTCCCCACGTCCTCTGGGCTGTGTCTGACCAGGAGCATCCCTGCTGCTGGGGCACGTAGGATGTGAGCAGCCGGAAAGGTCTAAAGAGATGAGACAATACAGCCCGAGTCGTGAGCTGTTGGTTTGTGCCTCCATGGGGGGGTTGTGTTGAACCCTTGTGTGACGAGGCTTCTGCCGCTGCAGGAATGAGGTCGAGTGGTCACCAATTAGCAGGGAAGGTGGTTAATGAGAAGGCTGGTTGGGTGTAAGCATGGAACAGGCTGCCTGGGGCAGTGGTGGAATCACTGGCAGTTGTTCCCAAACCATGTAGACAAGGCCCTCAGTGCCAGGGGTTAGTGGTGGCCTTGGCAGTGCTGGGCAATGGTTGCACCTGGTGAGCTTAGAGGTCTTTTCCAACCCAGTTCGTTCCATGATTCCATGATCCTGTGTTGCTCTATTGTGGCACGCTGCGAGCTGTGCATCACGCTCCGACTCCTTGGGAGCCCTGGAGCAAGATCATCCCATTCCCTGTGACTGCGTCGGGGTTTCACCCGCTCCCTGCAGAATGGAGACTCCTTTCTCGTGAGCCCATGACAAAGGTGTTGCTGCTGGAGCGGGAAGGCGGTGTCACGGAAAGGGCGAGATCCAAAGGTTGCCGAGGGCAGGGAGTGCAGTGCTGCTGCGGGCAGCAGTGGGTGTTGTGCTTCCTCATGAGTCACCTCGATGGGGCTGGAGTTTCACCAGCAGCACCGGGATGTGGAGCTGACTCCACTGGAGCTCTGCATCCCCACAGTGGGAACGCTGCTGTGGAGGGCTGGTGTCTCCCGCAGAGGGGAGGATGCTGTCTGCTGCCGCCCGGGCTGCTGCCTGTGCCAAAAGCTTGCAGGCTGTCTCCAGGCGTGGTGTTGGTGTGCGGTGCTCAAGAAAGGGTCGATCCCAAACCCTCCCACGCTGAAGTAACAGTTGGGAATGTCCCGAGAGAAGTCATAAAGGCTCCAGCAGCCTCCAGGGAGCCGGTGGGAGGTGCGGGAAGCCCAGCCAAGCGCAGAGGAGGTGAAGGCGCTCCCGGCTTTGCAGCCACACCAGTGAAGTTTAATGATTCAGAGATCCGGGTGTAAATCATTGCCAGGGCCGCGGGCATGCGTGGAACAGGGATGAAGGTGGGTCTGGCAGCAGGGATGACCCTGTGCCGTGGGCAGGCAGGGGCTGGAGCAGGGCTGGAGCACCCTTCTGCCATGCAGATGGGTGTCCATCTCGATGGGGCTGCCCCCACTGCTTCAGACAGCGCCAGGGATGCTGGAACAGAGGCAGAGATAGCAGCAGCTCCTTCTCTGGCCGCTGACGTCAGGGTTATTGCTAAAGCAGCGATAAGCACACGCTCTGGAGAGCCAAAAGAAGACCTAATTCAATAGAGACACAGACTTGTATGTCAGGTCTCCTGCTTTAATCTGATTGGGAGGGATCTGCATAAAACTTTCAGGCGCAGAGATGATGCAGAAGTGTAAATCCTGCCCTTTCCCAGGGTTAAGGTGCCCCAGGGAAGCCAGAGAGACTGGGAACAGGCACGGAGGTTCAGACCCCAAGTTTAGACTGGAGCTGAGGAACAATTCCTTCCCCAGAGGGTGCTCAGGCATTGGAACAGGCTGCCCAGGGCAGGGCTGGAGTC